CCTGGGGCTTCTGCTATCCTACACAGAGGTCAGGGGACAGACCCGCTCACCTCTCACGTGCCTTCCTCCACAGTGGGAAGTGTGATTGGCAGAGATCATCCTGGAACCTGGGGGTGGACAGGTGTGCAGACACTGGTGTTTGTTTCATGGAAGGAATGACAGGTGAAGGGCTGGAGAGCAGGCCCTGGTTAATGTTCTGGGTTTGAGCTGGAGGGGACAAGTGAAGAGTCCACAGGATGTGTGAGTGTGTGGGACGAACCCCTCCTTCCCTTGATCCATGATTGCACGTGTAGGCAGAGAAGGGTCCTACTGTCAGAATAGGAAGCTGTAATTGCATAGACTAGAGGAGGTGGGGACCAATGGGGTGCACAGGAGGCATCACGTCCCTCTCCATCAGAATCTAAGGAGGAACACAGACAGAACGCTTTTATGCTGTTTTCCTCATAGGAGTGACTGTGGAGCCTACAAACCTGGGCTCAAATTGAACATCCATCATTTACCAGTCAGGTACCCTGGAGGATGTCATTTTACCTTTCTGAACCTCAGAGTTCTTATCTGTAAAATGGGAAAAATAATATCATCCTTTCAAGATCGTTGGGATGAATAAGTGATATGAAATATATAAAGCTCAGTACTTGACACACTGTAGCTACTGAAGAAGTGATAGCATTATCTTCTGGGTCTTATTTCTTCCTTCTCCAAGGGGGCAATTGCAGAGAGGGTTGGAAGCCAAAGAACTCACCTAACTCAGCTCTGAGAGGAAAGAGAAGAGAACTCACTGCATATAAAAGTCCAAAGTAAAACTAGGCTTTGGCACACCCTCCAGGTGACTCACTGTCACTCCTGGAATCTGAAAAGGAACAGATCAGAATGAACATGACTTTTGTGTTTGGTTAAGGCCGAACCAGCTGTTTCCAACTTTTGTAACTCAAAACCCAGCTTCCCCTTTATTGTCAATCCTTTGCTGCCCCTGATCATGTAGTTACTTATTTTTGCTTCCTCTAACTTCCTTTTCTTATGTGGTTCAGGGAGCTACATGTTGTTTTATAATTTATTTTTTAAATGAAGGGGAAAATAAAGATATAACAGGAGGACACAGGCTAAAATCAGAAAGAGGTAGAAGCTAGAAAAGTTTTCAAGATTCCTGGAGCATTTTTTAAAATAAACAGGGTAGGGCCGGTCTGGTGGCGCACTGGATAGTGCGCCGCTTGGGAAGCGCGGTGGCGCTCCCGTCCGAGGGTTCGGATCCCATGTACAGACCGGTTCCCGCTCACTGGCTGAGCGAGGCACGGGAGCAACGCCGAGGCTTGCGATCCCGTTGCCGGTCCCCGGTCCGGTCCGGGGGCAACACTGAGGGTTGCGATCCGTTGCCAGACACGGAAAAAAGATAAAAGACAAAAAAAATAAAAAAATAAAAAAAATAAACAGGGTAGGCATCTTTCTGGAATGAATCAGGCATTGGTTGTCAGGAGACAGGAAATGTATCGGATGACTGCTCTAAATCCCTTCTGACACAGGGCCCTCTGAATTGCAGGAGTCATCATCATGACCACGATCATCATCACCACAGTCGTCACTGACTCTTAGCATACAGGTGAGGTAAAAACAGGTGACATGCTAATTTCAGGCTGTCATTCTCTCTTGCTCACTAGCTA